GGCAACTTCTTGCTTGCGATCTCATTGTCGGTCGGTAGGCTGTAGTAACTATCAGCCTTCTTCAATATGCCATAAGCAACTCCGCGCTTTAAAGCTTTCTGTATCTAACCCAAAACATCTTTGTGAACATAATCTTTTGATAATCTCTTAATAAATAAAAAGAATTTTCTTATTTATTAAAAAATTTCTGCAAGTTTTTGATTTTGAAATTAATATGATACAAATAATTTCTGCAAAATTATAAGCTGCAAAAAAATTTTTCCTAAAGTTTGTGATTTAATTAATTTAGAGTTTAGATTAGATCTTTCATCTTGGAAAAAATAATTTAAAAAACTTTGTACCTTGCTCACCCTTTGTGTTACATAATATGCTTCTTTATACATTAAATAAAAATTCTCTATTTTCTAACGAAAATTAAAAATAAATAGAATTAGAGAAAAAGGAAAACATGATAAAAAATATGTAACAATTTAAAACTATTAAAACTATTAAAACTGTTAAAAAAATAATTCTTGATTTATTAATCTTGTTGATTTATTAATATCTAACATTGTCAATAAAATTGTCAATAAAAAATGTTAGATAATTTAAATAATAATTTAAAACAAGTTTATAAACTAAGATAATAATTATGAATAATTACGATACTGACGAGTGACAAATTCTACGGTGTGATAAAGTAATTGTTAATAAATCAAATTTAAAAAAGACACAATAAATTTTCTTTTTAATTAACAGACTATTAAATCGTTATTGAATTAAGTCATCAACAAAATATCCGTTTTCATCGGAAATTGCACGCTTAACTTAAATTACGCAATCTCTAAATGAATGGCGCAAAAAACAATAACCGTAAAAAATTTCAAAAGTTAATTCGTTGTCAATCACATCATAGTGAATAATGGTATATAGAAAAAAACTTATTTATTTTAATACATACTAGAAAAAATTACTATATATCATTTGTGATGTAACGTAATAATGCATAGACTAGTTAAAAATCTTTTTGGTTATAAAACATAAGTGTCTTATTTCGTTTTCACTAACTCAATCTTGTATTGTTTGTATTAATAATTAAATCATGAACATTTAAATTTCATGTTATAAAGAAAAATAAATATAAATAAACGCTATAGATTTATATGATTAAAATATATTTAGTTTCCAAGACAAAAAGATATGTGGCTTATATCACATTATTTTCACTCAATGATTACATTAAAAAAATGAGAAATGTCATATATAAACCTGACGTCGTGCCACAATAGATGGTATATTATAAACAGATGAAATATAGCGAAGTATTTCTTGTGACGTCGATCCTTTAAGCTCACGAAGGTTCTTGATCGCAGAGATCACTGAACTGAGGATCTTTGCGGACCGATGTACCATGATCGTGACAAAATCTAAATTAATAAAATCAACAAAATAAAGTTAATTGATTAAATTTTTATGTCTTATCAATTAAATGGCCATTAAATAATTCGGAATCAATTTGTATGACAGTCCGTATTTTCAAAAAAAGATATCAGTCATAATTCAAATATCGAGTCACGAAAGGAATGTATAACTCCAGTGAAAGAGACAAGAAAAACAGGAATATTAATTAGCATGCGTATTTAATATTAGCATGCTTACAAAAGTAATGCTGCCAGACGTGAGATAACATAGCAATCGAGTGCCATCACGTCCTCGAGGAATGATAAGCTCAAAATTTCGTTTTAACGAGGTGTCAGGTGTATAGATGGATACAGAAACTTTTTGCATGAAAAAAAAAACAGTTTTACTAGAAAAATTTGCTTGGATACATATTTGAAAATAATTTTAAGATTTATCAAAATAATTCTGTAGGACAAACAAAGTTCCCAGAATAACAAGAATGTTTGCGTATTTCATCAGATTTAAACGTCATATATAATTATTACTTTGACGATAACAAAATTGTTTTCAGATTTATATTCGGCCAAATCTTTAGATCACTTCAGCAAAATCGTTTTTCCCATGTTAGATCGATCCGTGTCTTCCTCATGTAGGTTACCCGACTCGATATTAGAATCAAAGAGGACGGAAACCGCGGAGTCACATCGCCTGACCGAATAATGACGTTGTCGCGACGGATAGGAAAAGACGACGCGATATGTGTGGCGGAGATTGATGGTAAACGTGTATCACTTGACAGGCCGGCTACGACGAATGGCTCGTTTAATCAATGCGCCTCTCTTGTTCCGCAAGATTCTTTTCACGGTGATGATAACCTTCGTGTCGACTCTCGCGTCAGCATCCTCGACCTTACCTGGAAAACACGGCGAATTTGGAAACTTGGCTGATCCGCCAAAGGCAATCACGTCTTGTATCAAGAGACCGAAATGAACAGACGTTTACAAATGAATATCGGAAGTGACGTTAACCTTTTTACATATATTTTCATACAATTTCCAACTCAAAATAATATTTATTAGACAATTAACAAGGACTATTTAATATATTGTATATATATATATATATTAGGTATGTAAATTAATTTGCTGCCTTCAAATTTTGCTCGTTCCTGAATGAAATCGTTTCTTATCTTTCGCCTTGAATTCCGACAGATCGAAAAATTATAGAAATGAAGATTATTTTAATAATGAAGTTTTTATATTACTTTTAATTTTTAAATAAAATTACAATTTCATAAAAAAGATACCAAATTAACTTATACACGTAATAAACACAGAGAGCGTCCTATATTTAACGTTTATGCAAGAAATTTTGTAAAACATATCAAAGACAAGTGTTTCTTTAGCTTAGAGCAAGTACAAATGACTGCAATTGCAATTTTTAAATAACTTATCCTCACGAAACTGCGTATTGCTATGCAACGGCTCACGTTTATTCTGTCTTTCCATATAAATTGACATAAAAGACGCATGTTAACACGTGTTAACAGTATCTTATAAATATATTTTGCGACATGTTTCTCAGCTAATTTATTAACATCTCATCTTTACACGCAAACCTTTAAATTTTTATATTTCGTAATATTTCATAATATTTCATCATATATTCCATATTCTCTCTCGAATCCGAGATATTCACAATCAACGTGCCTCGTCATTATATTCATATTCACATCACATATATTCATATGTTACATTCACTATAATATTGATGTTTGTATATTTATACATCAACTTGTTTCAACAGATCGTGGTATTTCATGTTGTACAAGGACCATTCGTCGAGGTATTTATGCAATGCGTGACATTCGGCACTTACACCGAGCCCTGGCAGGAACAACTCTATGCCGGTCTCAGTGTAGTCTTCATGTTTCTCCTGCCATTAGCAATTTTAGTCACCACGTATGTATCTACGGTGACTACGATCTCCCGTAAGTATGTTTACGTTACTCGAAATTGCGCACTTGCGATGAAACATGTTCTTATTCTCACTGTAACTTTTCGATAAGTCGTATTTATATCAATAAGTTAAATATTCAAAATTAAATACCAAGTGAACCTGAATTTTATAAACAATAAGATCTTATTGTTTCTCCAGAATGTTGTAAAATATATAATGTTTTATTTATTTATTTGTTTTGTTTATTTTAAGTTATCTTAAAAAAATCTTTGTGTAAAATTTACAGTGATTTATAAGGATACCAGTTACCTTTATAAATCATTGTAAATTTTTTTACACTCTTCAAATCTGAAATATTGAAGATGTATTTTGCAACATTTCGGAGAAAATGAATACATTTTCATCTTATTATAAAATGTCATAAAACAAAGGTTTTTACAGGTTCTCTTCAGAATAATATAAAATACATATTCGCTATTTTAAATTTCATGAGTATAGAATTTATAACGACTACCAATTCTTTTTAAATTCTTAATTATAAAATAGATAAATAATAGATAAATAAATAAAATAGATAAAATATTATAAATCCTTTAATTATAAAATATTATAAAATTTTATTGTTTTTCCAAAGTGTTGCAAAATACATATTCAATATTCTAAATTTTTCATGAGCGTAAAATTTACAACAATTTATAAGAATAACTGTATTCGCGAAAAAATGTCTAAAAACGATCCCACTACGATTTCATCCCAGTAATAAACTATCTAACTAACTATCTAAAAATTTATTTTAGGAAGTCAGAAAGAATTCAAAGCGGGAGCAAAGAAAGTCTACGCCAGGAACAGCGACTTGAATAGGAGAAGACTAATGCACCGGGCGAAAATGAAGTCATTACGCCTCAGCGTTGTCATCGTAACGGTATTTTTAATCTGGTGGACCCCGTACTACATAATGATGATCATTTTACTGTTTATCAATCCAAACGTTAGTATACTTTCATCGGAACAGCAACAAAATATTAGTCAATATTAGTATATCAAATATTAACGAAACAAAAAGCGTTGCCTTTCAGCTCAGCGAGGATCTGAAAAATGGAATATTTTTCTTCGGTATGAGCAACAGTTTGGTAAATCCTCTGATATATGGCGCGTTTCATCTTTGGCCGCAGAGACAACGGCAGAGAGACGGCTCTTATCAAAGGTGAATAGAATTTACGGGATCGTTCGATGTGTGCCCCGTATCTTTGTGAAATCCCCTTCGCGTTTCGCTCGAACTTGCAACACGCGAAAGTTATGGCGAAACGTACACGTGTCACAACGAGTCTTTATACCATCGACATATAGTACTGGACGGAGCATTGAATCAAAACTGTCTTGAGAGATGCAGAAAAGTACAAGACAATTATGCGGCTAAGAGATTAAGATTATGAGGTGAGATGATTTTGATGATACATCTGCTTTCAACTTACTTACAAGTGGAAAACATAATTATTTATTAATGATATAATAATATCAACTTTAATATTTATACACGGCGTTACATACTTAAAAACTGCATCGCATATCAAGAATATTTCCAATTTGTACAAATACACCGTTTTCTCCTTCTTGCTAGACAAAATTCAACCAATAGATAGTAGAAAGACATCTATCTTTATTTCTCTCTTTCTAGATTCGTCGAGATGAAAGAGATCAAAGAAATTTTGCCGTATCCTCCGTCCAGTACTATATGTCAATGCTTTATACGTTTGAAGGGAACGCTTCAGTAATGAAGAGAGTTCGCTAAAGTTTTGTTAGAAAAACGAAAGCGATTTTTCATACAGAACGTACTGAAATATTGACATTATTGCAAATTATAGGTCCGACGTTTCAATAGCGCAGCAACGAAACGCGAGCAGACGCGAAACGAAAACACTGCTACTCTCTCATCAGGATAGTGGTAAAATAACGACAACCTCACAGCAGCATCAAAAGTAACGTTGTTATCCGATTAGATTATATCTTACATAAAAAAACAGTGCGTATGTCATATAACGAGTGATAATAGAACGTACAAAAGGTACTGTAAAATAAAAGATATAGAAAATTATCGCTCTCTCTCATCGAGTATTTCTAATTAAAGATTTTTATAAGCAATAATTATTTTTTTTATTTATTTGAAAAAGGGAAAATCTTACGAATAAATTTTAAAAATAAAACGAAACTTAAGCTTACTCATTTTAATATATATATACATATATTATAAGAAATATATGAATAAAAACTTCATATTTGATTGTTAGATTAAGAATATTTGTATGCATCTATCTGTTCATTTAAATGTAATAACGCAAAAATATTGTTATGTTTATAATTAAATTATAATTTAAAATAGAGATTTAGCAAGTATTATTAGTTACTAAGTATTTCATTTGATATCTAATTCACGATAAGTTTGATTATGAAAATGATGTTATGTAATAAGACACATTTTTAATGATTTCTCATGTAATTTGCAATTGAAAAACTTCGTTCGCTAATAGCAATGCGTAAAAACATGAATATTATGTTATAATTATGTCTTGAATATATTGCTTTTGAAACATTATGATTTTATAGCGCAAAGCTATAAAAAGAACTGAATATTAGTTAAATAGAAAATATTAGCATAATACTGTATGTAAGAAAGCTTTTAAAGAAGCGAATATTATAAAATTGCAAATGAAAAATTAAAGACGGCAAACATGTTTTCGAAATAAATAATTTGTCTGTAATAAATATTCTTCTTCATAATTATTTAACATTTTATTTTACCTTTATGAGCAACTTTGAATATCATCTTTTGTTTTTAATTATCAAATTTATTAAAATTTTATAGTAAATGTTATTTTTTATCTAATTTTATTTTTCTCATGTTTTATTGATTTTTCATTTAAATTTTTGCAATTTAAATAAATATCAACAATTTATTAATTTTCTAAAACTGATAAACTAGCATCATCTCCTGCCCAATTGTCATTTCTCGATAATTCAGAGTTCTACAGTTTGTAAAATATCTACGATAGATATTTTGAACCGCAGAAGTTACTGTTCGTTTATTTAATTCGTTGTTTCACCGTACGAGGTCTCAGAATTTTCAAGATTTTATTTAACCTTGTTCCGAATGCTGCAAACCGGCTTATTGAGAAAAAATATAAAAACATTTTTTGTATAATATTTCATGGAAAATACTGAGAAATTGTACAAATTAGAGACATAATAACTTAACGAAAGAGAAGTAAGTTAATAAATTTAACAGATAAATATGAATATAATAAATTGTTGAAAGAATATTAAAAGGTATATTTAAGTACTGTATGATTACGGTACACGTGTGTCAAGCATATATGTCTCACAAAAAAAAACAGTATTTAAAGAAAAGAAAATCTGATGGCTGAGATAATATTGAATACAACAATAAATCAAAACAAATATGAGAATGAAGAAACAGAAAGTTACTGTAAGAATAACGGGCGAAATCATACAATAGAATCACAAATAACCAATGAGAATTTATGTACAGAGATAGAAAACTTACATAATATACCTAACAAGACAGATAATTCGCAAAATTTACTATCTGCAAATTATAAAACTGACGTTACTGGCAGTCCTCATAAGAATACATTTTTGTTTAGACAAAAAGATCTAGTAAAAAGTCCGCTGTTCAAAAATTTAGTACTTAACAAGTCTGATAAGTATACACAATCTATAAATACGACTGAATTGAATACATATTTAGTCAGAAAACGAACAATTAGTGCAAGTAGTGATTATGATTTATTCAAATCAGAATTAGATGATATAGAAAATTTTGGTAACAATTTTAGTAACATTGAAAACATCAGCTTGTTGCATGATTTAGATTCTATAGTAAAGTTTGAGGATAGCAAAGTGTCGAGTATTTTATCATCTTCAATGTTGAATGTCAATGCTATACAAGAAACTGATGACAGCATGTTAGAAGCTACTAAAGATCCTGTGACAGATCCTCTTTCCATTAGTGATCATGAAGAGAAAGACACTAATAAAATTATGGATCCAGATACAAAGATTAATAAAAAAATACACTCAAGATGGAATTCAAACCTGAATTAAAAAGACGAAGATCTAGTCGTTTGATCAATAAATATCCTTTTAAGAAACAAAAATGTGATTTGAATACAGAAGAGAAACATCTTTTTACAGAATTGGAAAGTATCAATAAATGTGAAAATTTGCCATTAATTCTCATCAAGGTTATTGTTATTATATATTTTGGACACATTTTAATTATGTTATGTATGACTTATTTACTTTGCGTATACTGTTTATTAATTGTTTTATGTTATAGAAGTTGCAGGAACTAAATATAAAACTGATACACAAAGTACCTAGACAACATAAAATAGAGCTCAGTGGATCTCATGCACCATCAAGAAAAGAAAAAATATTATTCCAGAAATATGGACCAATTCGGAATGGTACATATACACCTGCAGAGGACAAAATTATCATGGAAAATTGGAAAACATTTTGCAGAGTATGTTTTAAATATTCCACTAGAACTGAAATTAATGCCTGATTCCACCAACATGGATTTACTTTAATCTGGATTTAACTTCTCTTCATTTCTTTTCTATCTTTCTCTAATTCTTAGAACTAAAAAAGGAATGAAGAATAAGTTGAACCAAAATTAAAGTTGATTTATGTTGGTGGAATCGGGCATAAACGTTATAAATAATTGAAATCTATTTATGCAATTTTGAACGTTATGATTACTTTAAAAATAAAATAGTCTATTAATAGATTCAAATCAGAACAAAATGCATTTGATCTAAAAAAAAAAAACAAAAAACACAAGAGTATTACTTTCAAATGGACTCAAACTTACATCAAATATATTCGAATCTTTTATACATATTTTATTAGAAATTTTATATCTCTTTGGATCGAGATATTTATATAAAGTAACAATTATATTTTATATGTATATATAAAATTATATATATATATATATAATTTTTTATAATGTATAAAATTTGAACAAACACAAAAATAAGAATGTAACACAGGATATTTAAAATTCTTCCTTTTTTTATCATCGCATATTTTATAATAAAATATTAAGTAAAATTAAATAATTAATAATCAACGATCATATGCACCAACTCCATTTTTAGAGTACTCTCCATTTTTTTAAATACTTCAAATTATTGGATTTAACTTTTTAAATACATATTGGACTCGATCTTTATACAACGAACAAAATATATACTTTCATTATATTCTAATACATTATGTACATATAGCTCCATGATTGGGATACAAAAAGAACCGAGCCATTTCTTAATTGGAGACATAATGGAAAATATTATATAGATGATGTAAAAGAAAGACGGAAATTCGTTCAGTTCTTAGCAAATGGATTACCTTGGCGGACTCTCTACAGTGTTCATTCTAGATTTAAAACATTGTATTCTAATAAAATTACTCGCCAGCGGTAAGACATAAAGAATCTTAAATCAGTTCTTAGTCATGTTAGTTTTTTTATCTTTTAGATATACTTCGAAAGAGGATAAAAAAATTTTAATGTATATACAGAATAAACATCTTGACAAACGTAATACTAAATACACTGAATTAGCGAAATTATTAAAACGAACAAGCCGGTCGATTTTTAAACGATATCAATATCTTAAGAAGTTTAAAGATGAAAGAAGATCGGAAGTTACACGTAAATAGTTTAATAGTTTCTGTTTTACATTGGATATTTAAATATATTTTAAAATAAATTTCTAGATTTTAGAATATCCATATCTTGATATTATAAAATTTTTTTAATTACAGCATCAGCTAATATTAAATGGACATTACCATTGATCAAAAGGTTCATAAAAACTTTGCTCACTGTTACATTGAGTGAAGATATAAGAGAACTTAAAGGTGCCACACTTCCTAAACCAGTATGGCAGAAAATGGAAACAAAATTAAACATACACGAGAATGTTTTAAAAACGTTTTGGCAACATCAGCTGCATCTGCAATTATTCAGTACAGGTCCTATTTATTTAAATGATATTAAGATACAATTAATTGAATAGTAAGTATCATTACATTTTAATTGTAATTATAATACAATTTGTAAAATTTAAAGAGTTTTAATCGCAAATATTGGATCATTACACATACATAAAATTTACTGTTGCAGCATGTATGAGAAAGGAATATCTAGTACTCGTGAAATCATATGGCCCAATGTTGCACAATATTTTGATGGGGCAACTGCGATATTTCTTTGCAAAACTTTTTTTTATCTTGTTCAAGAATGTAACATGAACGATGTGGATAATTTTGCTGGTATCAAAATATTTGAATTGTTTGTCTAAATATGTGTTGTACATATGTATTATATGAGAATTATATATTACAGATGTTGTGGAATACTTATATCGTACGAAAATCCCTGAAATTCAAAAGGCTCAAACTGATAAGTTTTTACCTAGAATTATATATAAAGATGGAAAAATTTCTTTGTTAAAGGCAAAAAATAACGATACAATTATAATCGAAAATGATCAAGAAAGTAATCATCACGAAACTGATCAAGAAACTGACCATAATACTGATTTTAATACATAGAAGAAATTATTTTTATATTATACAGTAATTGTTATATCTTTTGATACGTTAAACTATAATGTATTATATTTCAGATTATTGTAATAAGAAAAAATGAAAATATATTTAAGCAAATAGATTTATTTAAAAAAAAGATTGATACAATGCATCCTTTTTCTCTGCTATAACAATATACAAATAGAAGATACATTTGCTTTAATTTTTCTTTCTTTTGATCTCGTCTGTAAGTTAAACTTTATTTTCTTTGACTCCTTCTCAAGTACTTTTCTTTTGCTTTTTGATACAAAGGTACAAGTTTGCCTTCTTTAGCGAGAATCTTCAAAAGTTCCATAATTAGTGGTAAATAATTATGCTTTCTTCGAATATTTTCTATTTGATATCTTTTTGACTTTCTAATTTCTTCTTCTATCAATGCCTGCAAACGTTCTAATTCTTCAGGATCGCAAACATTGGCTTTCTGCCTTTCATACAAAGTTTTTCTATCTGTTACTATAGCCATAAGATTAAAATGAATCTCGCCTTCATTATATCTGTTTATAAAAGTGTTTATATTATACAGGTAATATATATATATGTATATATATAAATGATATATAAATGATCATATATATATATATATATATATATGATCATTTATTAAGAAAGCTATATTTCACAACTTACTTGTTTATTCGTCTTTTGTAATTATTAGGTTTTGCAGCTTGTACCCATTGTTCCCCTACTGGACATGGACCTAGATCAATTGGTCCATCTTTTAACCCATCTAATTCATATAAACGACCATCGATTGGAACATAACTCACAAAATGAAACACATCGTCGTCTTTAGATGCCTGCTTTGAGTCATATTCAAATAGGGTCTGTCTAAAATTTTAATACAATGAAACTTTCTTTAGTATTATTTAAATAACTTAAATAATAATCAATAGTTAAAGCTACCTGACTTTATATAAAAACATTTAATTCATAATTGGATTTAGAATGTTTCTTTATTCTTATTTAATTCTTATTCCTAATTTAATTTTTAATTTTAACTTGGGTTAACTTGAAGCATTAAAAATTATAAATGAAATATAAGATAAATGATAATTCGTTTTGAGGAACTCATATGACATTAGCATTTTTTATGATTAATATTTAATTAATTAAAAAATATATATTTAATAAATACCTGGAAAAAGAATTATGTACTTCTCTTATAACATCAGAATTGCTAAGAGCAAGTCCACGCATATTTGCGTCAAAGCTTTGACAAAAATTTTTAAATTCCTCTAAATTTGGTCCTAAGGATATGTCAACATGTTTACAATTTAATAAAACACTCAGTATTGCTTGTGTCGCACACGCATTGTTTATTACCTAAATTATATATTATTACTTTAAACAAGAGTCAATAGCATTATTTTATAAAACAAATTAATTGATAAATAAAATAAATAAAATAAAATCTGTTTTATTTATTCTATATATCAATTATTTCAATATATCTTAATTATATTTTTTATATTTTTATAAATTACAAAATTAATTAATGACATAATAATAATCAACTTTACTTTGTTTTTTTAATTATTAATATATATTCTTAATGTATCTATTTTTTTTACTTTACATACCTGTTTTGCAAAAAATATTTTGTCCAATCTATTATCTTGCACAATATTTCCTGATAATTCATCGTCTTGAACCCATTTGAATAAAAATATTAAACCATGAATAGGCCTAAGAAAAAAAAGATATATATTTACATTTATAATAAATGTAAGTTTAAAAAATGATATCAAATAACATGAAAGTCAATCTATATAGATTAGTATAATTTAATCTATCCAACCAATTTTATCTAAATCAATATATATATTTCATTTTTATTTCTATATATTCTTCTTAGATCATGTATTCAAATTGAACCAAATACATATGATAACATTCTAAAAAATAGCGGAAGATTAAGCAAGCATATAAAAAAAATATCTGAGCTTCCAAATGTCTAATCTTCTAGTATTTTTTTAGATAACATAAAAATTAAGGTGCTTATGTTGTACAAACTAAACTTACTTGAGTTCGTTGAATTGTTCATCATCCAAACTCCATAATTCTTCCACTTGTGCACCTTTGACGCCTACACAAATAAAATAACATATTTATGTCAATAACATGTTCAATTTTACAAGATATGATGACATAACAATTGAAAGCAAGTTTTGTAATTTCCTGAAGATTTGGTATCGCAATTTACGATCAAACTAAAATGTATTTATATATATATATATATATATGTGTGTGTGTGTGTGTGTGTGTGTGTACATAATACTTTATTATATATTGTGTATATATTATAAAAAGTTTGTATGTGTATGGCTTCTTTTTTTATATCATGAACTTTATGCATGACAAATGCTTCTCACTAAATCTTTATTCAGCCCAGATAACGTCAAAAATAATACAAACACAATGAAAAAAATTGCAGAAAACTTAGAAATACACATACCGAATTCTTTAATTAATTCTGTAAAAACGCCAGGATCACTTTCAATCAGACACCAATTTCCTGCGGAATCCGCCATATTTTTAATAAGCTATCACAAATGTGTTATATAAAATATCACTAGCCAGGGCCTACAAAAAATTCTGATGAATCATTGCCCTCTCGATGGCAAATTGCACAATAGTTTGGAATGATAAACGTCGTTACCGTTTGATGGAAAAGTCCAGTCAATACAGCGATTATTTTTAATAAATGTAATGACGTTTTAAAATCGTCCAATACCCACTTCCATAAAATAGATTAATTTTAATCTTGTTAAACTTATTTTTTGTTCTTAAAGAAAATAAAGAGTAAATTAAGCTGATATTAAAATTAATAAATATTGAAATAGATTAAAAGGCATCTAGAATTTCAATTGTATCGTAAAATTATTAAAAATAAATTATAACATGTAAATCAACTTTAATCTTTTTTTTTAGAGAAAAAGAAAGTAAATTAAACTTTTTTTTATTGTCAGGATAAAAAGTAAATTAAAACGAATTAAAATTTATCTATATTTGTAAAAATGAAAATAAATATGCAGTATAATGCTCTCTCCGCCAATTTTCCTGTAATTTTGTAAGTTTACATTTTCCTCAGTAAGTTCCTTCTCAGAATATATTGTACGCATAAAAATACACAAATTTGGAAAATTAGGAAAATCGAAGAAGAGAGAGTTATACTGCATATTTATCGAACGTATTATCGCAAATAAGATCGTTTTCATCAAATTCGTTCAATATTTCTTTAATTATCATTACAAAAATTATCCACTGTTGATACTTTTATTCAACGCTTAATCAAAACATTTATATTTTTTCGCATAATTTCACTTATTGTTTACAATTACGAATTTGCTCACAAGACTACATGAATATTCATATCATGAGAAACATTTTGCAGCTTCTGTCGTAAAAACAGAGCATTGCTGCGAGAAAAATCACAGTCACGCGCACACAATAATAATATATACGAAATTCGACTCGACACACATTCGGGGGGGGGATAGTGATTGGTTTTGATGCCGCATACCGAATTGCGGAAATAGAAAGCGAAAATTAAGTCATTGGCGGTCGCCGTCGTTTATCTTCTCCTTGTAATAATCCTCTTTGTTTTCATCCCTGTCGATTCAGGTATGTAAGACGTTTACTGTAGATTTCCAACAGTTACACAATTTTTAACCTAATATAAACCTAATATAAACAGCCCTTCAAATTTACACTTTTTAATATCTTGGAGCTATTTCGCTATTTCGCTTTGGAGATTTGTATTTATGAATTTCTATTGGCATTGTATGTTATATTTCTTAATTGCACGATTCTTACATTTCTATTTGAAATAACCTTGGCTGTGTATTAATACGCGTTACAATGTTTTTGTACGGTTTCCGTTATGATTTTTATTATCGCCACGATTAGTATTGTGGCTGCGACGTACTAATATCAATCTATATCATAAACGATCGGACCGCAGACGAATTAGTTCTCCAATACCTGTGTTAATTGTTGTAACAATTATTATGAGTTCTGACATAAAACTTATTGACTGTAATGAACAAATTTGACTATTTGATTAACGACATCATAATCGAGATATAATTTGTGCCAATTGTTGGGGAAGTTTATGGTTTAAATGCGATATTTCAGTTTTAGGCAAGATGTCGGAGCAATTTCTAGGTTGCATGGTTTCAGTGAAGTGTATCGATGATCTTGCCTATCAAGGGAAAATTATTGATTACAATAAAAATAGTTTGACTTTGGCAAAAGCGTTTTGTAATGGCATACCTCATACCTCTTCGATTGTTTTGAGGTAAGTTTGCTAGTTAAAAATTTATTTATTTTTATAGATATGTTCCATTTGCAATGTTAGTATCATTTTAACCTTGTTTAACATTGAATAATAAAAATGAAACGGTTTCATAAATGTCAAATGGAATGTACTTTTGTGAAAAATGAAAAAAATGTTGAAAATGCTATATTCTACTTGAATAAATAGATAAATTTATTGATACATTAACATGTATTATATATTAATTATCTTTGTTATTACAGTGTAAAAGATATACAGAATCTCGAGATTATATCAACCGAAGAAGTGGGTAATGTGAATGATACGCACAGTAAAGTAATTGTAAAAAGACCAATTGCGAAGAGGGCCGGGCGATCTATTTCAGAGTGCGTTCCAAATACGGTGCAAGCAGGAAGTTCTCAAGTGCAGGCAAATTTCAAAAAGCCTGCAGAAACTAACCAGCAGCAAGTGGAACAGACACCCAATGGGAAAATACCTTCAAGTATGTAGTATACATATAATTCACATATTTATCTGACGTGTATGCATTATGTAACAATTTTGTTACAGCCGAGAATAATACGTCTAATAATAAATCTGTCTCAAAAAGATTAACTCATAGACAAAGGGCGTTAGAGAGGGACGAGCATACTTTTGGTACCCCGATTGATCAGTCCTTACAGCAGGACTTTGATTTTGAAAAGAATTTAGCATTATTCAATAAAGAGGTTGAGCTTTACTGCATTGTTATGATCGCTTAGATAAGAAACTCTTGATATCGCTTTATTATTTTATGTTCTTTATGATTAAGGTTCGTTCTTTGCAGGCTGTATGGCAAGAATTAATTCGTTGAAACCGGATATCGTCAGACAGTCGGAAAATAATCGAGGCACTACAGCTATCTACCGGCCCGATGAAAATATTCTCGTGTCCGAGCCAACAGTACTCAGACAGATTGTGGTGCCTTGTTGTGGTGAAAAAGAATACGTTACAGATAATGGTCTTGTAATTCCCAGCATAACTCTTAGTCTCCATCGGCAGTTAATAGGTGCGGCAGATAGATTGGGAATTAGTTGGGAACGCAGGGTTTGTATTGATATTATTTCTAATTGATATTATTTCTTAACAAAATGAGAAGAGAGAAATAATTTTACATACAATCACAATACAATACACAAATCGATAATAGCATATAGATAATAATAGCAGAGATTGATAAAACACATTTATTTTAATTAAATACATTTACTAATAATAAAATAAAATAATAAAATAATTGAAGTTTAAATGAATTTTTTTTCAAAATATAATTAATTTCATACTTTCATTTCATACATAATGGTTCTTATATCCAAAATATTCTATTTTATTTTTCTTATTTGATTATATTTTAATACTATCTTTTACTTAATAATTTAATTTTTACTATATTTTCTTCAATAGGTGGAGCTTCTTGGTCGGGCCGGTGCTGAGCTTACTCTTCAGTTATTAGGTGGGAGTCATCGGTTGAATCCAAACAATGCACATCAATGGCCCACTGTGGTTGCGCTATGTGGACCGCATCGTTCTGGTGCTGCGGGTATCAACTGCGCTCGGCAATTATCCAGTCATGGCGTCAAGACGATCGTATTCGTGGAAAATGCGGAAGATGTGTTCCTCTTGCAGGAACTTTCGTTATATAAGCTAACGGAAAACAAGGTAGAGACCAAAGTCAGAAATTTACCATCATTGGTCGATTTGATACTCGTAGCGCTTTGCGATGAGGATTCGCCCAGGATAATCACACCGATAGCAAGGTGGGCAAACAGCAACCGTGCGCCCGTGCTCGCAATCGAACCACCGGCAACAGGTACACCAGGTATCCTCAGTAAATTCAGCCTGTTGGGTGCCCTACCGCTGTCGCACAGTGTCGACAACGGCAGATTGTATTTGTGCAATCTCGCGTTACCGAATAAGGTGTACTCCGATGTCGACATTACGTACAAATCGCCGTTCGGACCTAAATTCGTAATTCCTTTACATTCCAATAACTCTTAGCAAATTTTTAGAGATCACATCGTGTCTCTTTGAATAGACGCCTTCATTTTATCATGCGCGATTTGTAAACCTCGTATACAGGGAAATATATTTTACTTCCGAGGCCCACTGAGTAATAGAGTTTATATACATATAGTTTGGCGTTTGATATAAACTTTTAGATAAACTTTTAGAAAGAGAAAGAAAAAAAAGAGAACATGATGTATTATACTTTTCGCATTAATTGCATGATATTTGTACATGGATGACACGATGCGTACTGTTTCTGATATTATAATTTAGGGAACTATATTTTAAAATCTTAATTACACATTATGTGCGCTATAAAGAAAAGTAGATTTCGTCTGATGCTGTGACGTCGTTTTATTAATGTCGAACACATAAGATAGAAGCACTATTGCCTCAATTATAAACGACCTCTCCCAAGTAAAAGATATATAGAGATTACTTCTTTAAGGATAGGATTCCATGTATCATAGCACAATTTTGCATTGATGCATATAAATATATTACTTATGTATTTGATACAATTGAGTGAAAGCTACGTTGCCTCACGCACGTATCACTCAAACTACACATTATGCGTGTGTCTATAGTTTATATTAATAAAATTTATATATTAATAAATAAGAAAAAATACACAAAAAATATATCGCGATGAAATTCTTGTGATTAGAATCACTTACTATTTCGATAAATTTAAATGATAAATATGCATAGAACCATTGTAAAGACGATTATTTGTTTGGCATGGAAAACTTATAGCTGAGAAACTAGCAGTAAGAAAAATAAGTCGTGACTTAGACAGGAGAAAAAAAGCCTTTATATATTTTTAATAATTTGTAACGTACTATTTATCATTAGAAATCCACGCGCAAGACGAACAGTTACTTAGCATTTCTATTTGGCTAATTGACAATTGTTTTATATTTATGCACGTTTACATTATTATTTCGTTCGGTAAGCTCCTGTAATTTGTACGTGTACCGAATATCAAACTTATATCAAATTCATCACTTTATATTGTTTTACGTTCATTACTTATGTTCTGATAGTGATTATGAATGTGACATATAGTCATACTGAAGTTATCGCAACGTATATGCAAGATATCTGCAGCATTGTATAAATCATCTACATTAAAAATTTGATTGTGTTCCTTTTTGTACCGATTTTTTTTAACAGTTTATAATCACGTAAGGAATGCTTTTGATTATTATGAGTTTATGGAATGTATCACTTAATCTAAAAGTATACCCAATATAATAATTTCTTGCACTTCCAATATTACATGAAGGTTAGATTAAATAATTCTGCAGTTTGTATTCATTTCCAAATGGACTAAATACTATGTAACGCATGGCAACATTTTAAATGATTTATTTGGAAGTATACATTTGTTATATATAAGTACATATTTAATAATAACAAATAAGTCATATATAATTATTGTAGTTATTATTGTTAATAATTAGTTAATAATTAATTATTAACATTTAAGAATTGAATCCTTAAATTATAAATTATACATTGCTCAAGATAATTATTTTAAATAATTGATAATTATATGTTTGCAAAATAGATGTCTAATTCGATAATTTGCAAAATATATTAAACTTTATTTACCTTTATCAATTAATTATGGAAAATATATAATACATATATAAAATGTTCATGAATATATAATTTCCTTCTTTTCGTTTTTCATTTTAATAATGTCATAATAAGAAATATTAATTATGAAAATTTAAACATAAATTTAAATATACAATAAAATTTCATAATATGATACGTTCAATTTCTATCAGTGTTAATCTTATATCTGATAATAATCTATATATAATAATAATTTTGAACTAATACACTAATGTCACATACAAAGATGCATAGTCATTAAATTATCCTGTATTAATGATGTATTAAATAAATTATAAAGCATAAGATAATGGAATTATTCTATAATTAAACGAATAAATTCTCCATGAAAGACAAAGAGAAAGAAGGAACTAATAAAAAAATAACAATAATGTAGATATAAAATAGTTTCTATAATTTTACTTGTAACATCGCTCAATCATACAATATTTCTGTAAACATTACAATCTATGGAAATTTATAGCGCCGTCACGTGCTAAAAATATATGATTTTTGTCGCTGTAGTAGAAGACTGCAGAAAACTGCAATTATATAAGTAATGAAATAATAATGACACGAGAATTAAAATTTTTTTGCAGTTATTGTCAATTCTTATAAATGCAGAATAAGATTTGTTATAAAAATATCTGGTTACTGAATTTAGGCAACATTTGAAATTGAACTAGCGTATTTGCACTCTCTATTTTATTATTTGTGATTAAATTTCGAGAGTTAATTGAACAATGTAGAACACGAGGAACTGT